ATGTCTTTGAAAATGGCTTATGATCATTTTGAATTTTTATCACTCAAATTTGAAAAAACATTCAAAACCAGTATTCGAGAAAACTAGTTATTTAAAAGTAGATTATATCATCAATCATATCCATACTAATTCTGATGTCCTAGTTAACATCGTTGGGATTTTAGTAGCGATCTTTTGTACTAAAATCTAGTACGCAGTTGTAATAGATCGTACTAGATTCGACAAGTGATTAAGAAATATAGGAATATTGATAATGAAACTTCATTTGGGTAGGTTTGCAATGATATAAACACTCAATAACTGCTCTAGCGAAAAATGTAACGAAAAAATAGCTCGGTCAATAATAAAAATGTTAATCAAAACAAAATAAATACCTACTCTGACAGAAATGAGAGGTGAATTCCTAATTCTTATATAGTGAGCACGTAAAGGTTTCAACAAATTCATCAAAAGTTTGATATGTAGATTGTGAAAGAAGCTCATACACGATAGACGTCAATAATTATCTTTTTCAGATGCGAATTCGTTGGTCTACTCATATTCTTGATGACATCATCATTATATATAAATTACATTATCATGGATGGAATCGAAGAACGTACTAGATTATAGAGGTTTCATCTGTTGTCATATTAGCGTACTAAGCAAGGTGTATTACGAGGTGTAATAGTAATAGAATTTGAAAGATGTTCTTTGAACATTATAGGGATTTCCTTTCGTGCGCTCCAAGCGATAAAAAAAATTGTAATAGCATCCCCAACGCTGCTAGTTGAAATGTCCAACCCTGTGAAAAATCAACCGCGCGGTTGACTGATTCAAAATTTCATTACTCAGTATATATTTGATTATGATAACTCGAAATATGCTGTTCTTCGATCATCAATGCTGTTGCATGAATCGAATGTATACAGGGTCACAATAAAGTGCACTTGAACTTTCTTCTTTGAAAAGGACCACCCAGTATATGGTTTCATATTTAAAAGAAGAGCTAGTTAGTGGGATTGATGGAATTTTTTTAAACGAGTATGAAGACATGGTCAAACAACTCTCAGAATAATTGCAGCGGAAGAAATATAGACCTATATCGGGTGGTCAAAATAAAACCGGAAGTTTCAATTTTCCTCGTGGTTTTATAATTTTTCAACCAAATTTGCATCCCCAGACGCCATTTTGTATCTGAAGGGCTGTAGTATGCAATGCAGTACTTGAAAATTCCATAATTGAAAAAACAAAGTGGTGGAGCACCTCAAAAATTTGTGATTTAGAAAAACCGCTGGAGAAAAAGAAAATTTGAATTTTTCCAACCTGTACCGATGCTATTTTAGACCATTCATTTCTCAAGAGAATGAGTACTCGAACATTGAAATTGAACGAATAGTCAGGGAGATATTTTCACTTTTTCACAGTCTGCTATATGGAGTTAAATTACTAATCTCGTAATAACGATTATTATTTTGCTTTATCAAATTTCAATCGATTTCGGATGTCTTGAAGCCATTTCAAAGATAAAAAGCTGTGTTATACAGTGAAACATCTGAAACTTCCATACAAAATGGTGGAGCATCTCAAACATTTGTGATTTACAAAAACCGCTGGCGAATGGAAACGTGTTCGTGAAAAAAAAGGTTTTCAAGGATGGCAGTTCAGACGTGTCAGCGTCGTAGGATAATGTACGGGGTCTTTCATTACAATTCGAACTGAAAGAGCATTTCCGGTATGAAATCTCCAAATTTGAGAATAGCAAAATGCATCTAGTATCAAATAATCTACTTGACATGTTCAAGTCCAAATATCTAGGAAACGGTTTCTTATACAGACTTGTAACAGGGGTAGCTTCATTACGTAGAAATGATACAAAGGTATCAGTTATTTAACTGAAAAATCAGCTAGAGGATCGTTCAATGAAGTTATTAATCTTCAAAAAATAGAAGGACGTGTGCATGTAGGTGTCGCCCCTATGAGGAGGAGCAATGATATCATCAGGTTCGAATTCGACACCTCAGGAAACATCTAAACACCAGTACGAACGAACGAGAGTGAAGTACTTTAGAATCACCCTGTATCTGGACGTACCCATACCAGAACCCAAGTTGATTGGAAAATCACAAACGAAATGTACGTCATTTGGACTTTCCGATCTAGAACGGTTTTTAATTATGCAACAAATGAGTATCGGTATTCTTTATATTATGTATTTTATATTCAAAGAAGGTAGATAGATATACCTATATTATTTGTGGTAAAATATAAATTGTAACCAGTTTGTGAAATTCTACGTTGACGATCATTTCTCTGGGTAAGACTGTATCCTAAATCTATACTAATATAGAGAGGAAAGATTTGTTTGTTTGTTTGATTGTATTGAATAGGCTCCAAACTACTTGATCAATTTGGCTGAAAATTGGTGGGGAGGAAGCTTAGAACCAGGAGAAGGTTATAGGATACTTTTTATCCCGGTACCATTAGGAAATTCAAGAGGGCGGATCTAATATGGTGGATTTTGTGATTAGGATCCGATTTCATTCAGATTTGGTTCATCTAGTGGTTCTCGGGGTCGGAGATTATGATTCTTTCGTCAAAATTAGTAAATTCAAGATGGCGGACCCAATATGGCGGACGAGTATTGTAATTATGATTCAACTCTCTTCAAAATTGTTATCTGGGTGTTTTCGGGGTCGGAGATTATGATTCTTTTGTAAAAATTTGGAAAGGGCGGGATTTGGAAATTCAAGACGATGGAATAACCAATATACCGGACGAGTATTGTAATTATAAACCGCTTCTATTCAAAATTTGTAAGTGGGCGTTTTCGGGATGAAAAATTATGATTCCTTCGTCAAAATTAGGAAATTCAAGATGGTAGATCCAATATTGCGGACTAGTTTTGTAATTATGTTCCGATTCTATCAAAAATTTTCATCTGGGGTTTTAGGAGACGGATATAATGGTTCTTTCGTCAAAATTGGGAAATTCGAGTGAACTAAAAAGAAAGATGAAATAAATGGTATATAGTTTGAAAAACTGAAGAAACACGCTTTTATAGATAGCGAAACTAAAAAGAAGAAGAAAATAAAATAATAATAGTGTCTTGATGAATATTGAACTGAAAAAATATATTATAGAAATAATGTATATAGCAGAACAACGTTTTCGAGGTCTGCTAGTATTATATATTTATAGTTTTTCGATACAGATTTCATTGACCCATAAAATGACCCTTTCATCATCATTTGAAATTGAAAAAAATGCCTATTTCTTGTAACTTCGTAACAATATGACGCGATATTTGTTCATATTTCCGATTTCAAAATGATTATTATGGTTATATATACACTATACAGGGTGCAATAGATTTCTTTTATCTCTTGGAGAGCACGAAAGGGAATCCTTATAATGTTCGAGAAACATAGTGCGTACCTAGGTAGGATAAGGAGAGAATGTGGGTAATGACATTTTTTTGAACTTTTGGATGTAATAGGCTGTTGGAAATGCTTCCTTTCGCAAAGAATTCCGAAACTTAGCCTTTCTATAGACAAACGAGTTTTGGAAAAGAGCTGATCGACATGATTCGAGGTCGACAAGATCGAGGATGTAAATATGCTTGTTCTAACAAAAATTCGAAAACTATTCGATTTTTCCTGATTCTTCAAATTTACGTTAAATGTCATCGTGATAATTGAACGGAAAATGAAGAAAAAATTGGATACGCCAATTCATGGCTTTTGGAATTCTAGTGACTACTGTACGCATGGAATAGTAATTTCTCTAACAAGTGCGGAAAGTTATTCTTTCCCGCACGCGACTGCCGTTGACACGAACGACGCGAAGCGGAGTTCGGGCAAGCAGTCGAGTGCGGGAAAGACACTTTCCGCATGAGTTAGGAACAATATTTTTTCTACAAGCGTAGAAAATTGATTAATTCGTTCAATTAATTATTCATGCAAATAGGAACAGCTAACAAGAGAAATATATTACATATCTATCTACTAATTATTAGTAATAGCTATTGTGAACTTACAGTTTGACGCATTATGTTGGTTCATTGCGGAAGCCAGCAGGCCCATAAGGAGTTTGGTGTCTAGGTTTCAGACACTTCTATGAAATGAGCCAAAAATACCTATTCTTCATTCGGTTTTTTCATTTCTTTATTGTTGCACCATTCAATAAAACGCGTGTATAGCTTCTCATACCTTTCTTAAGACTTCGTTGGTGATAACGCATCTGTATCAAATCCCTATAACTAGAAGTTTTTGATCACATTGTGGCATTTCCACTGAATCGAAAATGACAGTAACGCTGTGTCTGTCACTTCGACAATTTCAAACTTATTTGAGGTTTGATTGGTATGACAAATTGACGTTTCCCGTCAGATCAATCCAAATCTATAGGGGGATTTTTTATAATAATCAATTTTTATTTCTCAATATTTCTTAATTTTCACAATAAATAGTGCAATTTGATGGATGATTCTGAACATATATACTTAATACTGCAACAAACAAACTTAAACTTTTATATTCCATCACCAACCACTTATATTACTAGTGATTTCATCATATCTTTGTTTTCCCGCACTAGTGCGGGAAAAAATTTCCCGCACTAGTGTGGGAAAATTTTCCCGCACTGTTGCGGGAAAATGACACTTCCCAAACTAAATTGCGTGCGGGTATAGGGTGAATCACGCACGCTTGTAGAAAAAATTGCTTTTCGATTCGACACTGACATTTTAAATTCAGTTTTATATAGGGATTGAATAGTATATTACGTATTATATGTGTTGTAAGAAGCATATTACGCACGAATGGAAAAGTTTCATGAGTGCGTATTTGCTTCACAACACGCATTACGTACTATACTTCACCTACTGCCATAAAGTACTTCAAAAAAGTTTGAACAAACAGCCTGAATTATAATTCTTGACAGCTATATGTCATCCGCTGTTGACGGCGATTTCGCGATCATGACATATCTATACTGGCGGAATGAACCAAAACTGTGCGATGTGCTTACTGTGCGGAAAGGACTACTTTACTGAGGCTGTATCCCATGTGTTCTTGTCACCTTTCCATAGTGGTCGTAAGTAATAGTAGATCATACACTTAATATAGGAATAAAGAAATATTTCAAATCCCTAGACAAAAAGTTTATATAGAAGTGAGCGATCAAAGGTTGTGGGTTCGACTCTCTCACGCGGGGCGGTGGAGTTTTTTTATTTCTCGTTGTCACTCGAAATTAGTGCTTTCTATCATATTCATTATTAAAAAGTTCATAGCTGGCCCAACGGGAGGTCTATAATTTGTCGAGGGATTTAAAAACACTTCATTCCTGTGGTGTATATATATACAGGCTGATCCACGGTGGATGGCCTATTAGAAGTATCTGGAGAACGAAAAGACAGAACATTCTGAAAATTAGGATGCTGTGATAACTGAACATTCTCTATCCGTCTAAAATATTTTCATCGATACAGTGTTGCCACTTCTATCAGAAACAACTAGCAACTTCGTTATTTCGAATAGAGCACCCTGTATTTCATTGCGTTTTTAGATTCTCCCTGAAAAGCTGATTTCATCAATGTATCACACTTGGGGTCTAGCAGGAATGATTACAGCGATATAGGGTGTTCAAAATCGAGATTTTTCAATTTCAGGATTTTTTTGTGTCGAAACTATTCATTATTGATCAAAACGGCTCACATGTCCCTATCTCAACTCCCGATTAACTATCTACTGACATTTAATTGGAACAGATACAGGGTGATCAGAATTCTGAATCTTGGAACACCCTGTATTTTTTCCAATCAAATTCCAGCAGATAGTCAATCAAAAGTTGAGATAGGGACATGTAAGCCGTTTTGATCGATAATGGATAGTTTCGACACAAAAAAATCTTAAAATTGAAAAATCTCGATTTTGAATACCCTATATCTATGTAATCATTCCTGCTAGACCCCAAGTGTGATGCATTGATGGAATCAGCCCTTTGAAAAGAATCTAAAAATGCAATAAAATACAGGGTGTTCCATTTGAAATAACAAAATTGATAGTTGTTTCTGATAGAAGTGGCAACACTGTATCGATGAAAATATTTTAGATGAATAGAGAATGTTCGATTATCGAAGAAACCCAATTTTCAGGATGTTCTGTCTTTTTGTTCTCCAGATACTTCTAATAGGCCATCCACCGTGGATCACCCTGTATACCATTTAATGCAGGATAGGTAAAACGTTAGAAACAAAATAACGAAAATAATTTAAATGCTACTAATCGCCAGTTGCTCTAATGATGAAAATAAGTAGATGGTGTACTTCCTGATGCGCTTTTGTTTCATAAATTCTTTTCGACCTCCCGAGAGTCCCATGAACAATGTTTTTAGCTGTTTTCGGATAGATGGAGGCATTGCACAATTATGATAACGGTCAATTTTGATATTGCCGCAGATTTTTCGAATTCAGAGTTAAATAATTCTACTGTTACATATTATGTTCCGCGTACCTGAAATGCCATTTGCCATTTTAGTTCCACTTGTGACAGCAGCAATAGCAGCATCAACAATTCCAGTTTGAGTATTGTCGCTATTACGTAGTTGAAATTACGCCAGTCGGGCAACCAGCCACTCCCGTAGGGAAATTTCAGTTTAGGAGTGATTCTTTCCTTCGGTTCTACTCAGATGGCGTTGCTTTCATATTGTCGATGAAATACGCCTCTGGGGGAATATAATGCCGATTTGATTTTTGTTTGGCTAGGCTACGCTGAGTCCTAAGCTGGCTGGAGACTATACCCTGCACTGATGAGAGTCAAAAAGCTCGAAACCGGTCTGTGGGTGTCTAGCGTGACCTGGCTTAATCGAAATCAATAGGCATTTAGGAATGAATCTTTTGAATCAGTATTCGTTTATTCGAGTCGATGCATAGATTTTGGGAGGATGTAATTCAATATTCTGCGTGGCATAGCGCATGAAAGTAGTTGTTTTTCTCCCTAAATACTGTCTGTAGGTTAATCGAGGAGGTGGTACATTCATTTTACTAAATCCATCACAGAAAAAAAATTGTTTGAAACTACAAAAGTTTTGTAAATTCAACAAAATCTGAGTGTCACATATCCACGACAAAATATTTTGTCACCGCAACAAATGTTTCTTGTCAGTTTTCAATTCAAAATTCATTTGATGTAACCCATTAATGATTCAAATAAGCAGCAGGAATTGGTTGAATGAACAAAGATTATTTTGTTCCTATAATACAATATCCTGCTCTTATGAAAGATTCAGTTGATTGAAATGATTATATCATTTCATTCAAGTGACAAAATTGTCAGTTTCTCAGAGAGTGAATATGTTAGAATAACAATATATTTTCTTCGATCAACCAAATTTTATTTAGAATTGACAAAATATTTTGCTGAATAATATAAAAAAATCCAATAACTGAATTTCAAAACTAAGAGAAATTAGGGATCAATTTCCTCAGTTGATCCAAGACTATCAGCTTGTATAAGCGTCATAAGAAATTCTAGGACAGCCTAATATGATTATATAAACGGATGTTTTAGGTAGGTATATGTACACCCCAATCGAGGCGAGCGTAGGAAGGTTGGAAGAAACGCCACCTAGTCGCAAAAATGCAACTAGATAATCATTCAACAAAATATTTGTTCGATATAATGTATTTGTGGGTTCTGTTCAACAAAGTAATTTGTTTGAAATATAACAACATATTTCTTGATAGTGATGTGTTGAATCAACAAAATATAATGTTGTCATAATCAATTCAATTTTGTCGAAAAAAAAAGAACATTTGATTGGTTGCACAATGAAATGATTGATTGAACAATGAGATGATAGTTGGATCAACAAAATTTCATTTATGTCAACAATGAATGTTGTTGAATGAAATGAAACTTTTGTCCAAGTAAGCAAATATTTCAAACAAATTATTTTGTCTCTTTGAATCGGTTGCTTATTTGGATTCAACATATATTTTGTTAATTTCGCAAAATTGTGTTCAATTTAACAAAGAAAAAATGCCAAAATTATTTTGTTGGTGCAACAAAACTTTTTTTCCGTGTACCATTGTTGTTCATTTCATGAACATTGTATGAAAATGACTTTGAGCTTTTTGTATTTATTAAACATTTCATTCCACATTCCACTTTGAGCATTATGGCTATTTCGAGAATACATTGTTTATTTAATTTGACGAGCTAGATGACTTTTTGGAAGAGGCTTATTTTTCGAACTTGCTGTATTTTTTGTTTTCCAGTTCCAGTAGTCATGATCTCGTTCTTCATATTCGGATTGCCCCTGCTGACATGTGCAGCAGCCATTGACAACTTAACAGTAGCCTTTCAATGGAAGCAGCTGGACTTCGAGTACCCCTCGGACACTAGTAGGCATCAGGCAATCGTATCCAGAGACTTCATTTCAGAGAACAATGTGCCATTGGGTCTGGAAGTCTACGAAGACAGGTTATTCCTGACGATACCAAAATGGAAAGCGGACGGAGTTGCTGCTTCTCTAGCCTACATCAAATTGACAGGTGAACAATATAAAACAAGCGATTTTTTTCCTTTTTGGACATCCATTTGGGAGTCCCCTGAATCCAGGGTATACCCACTAACCTCCACCCCGTTTGTAGACTCGTCTGACTGATGTCTCCGACTACACTAAGGCCTAGTGGCCCATTATATCTTACCTACATTATATATTATATATTATAAATTTTACCATATTTTTTTTATGTTCTGGTTCCCACGGAAAGGCATATCCTGTAATGTTTAGAGAACATCGTGAGAACCAAGGGAAATAAGGTAGGAATTGGTGTTCTTGCAGGTTATATGCCTCGGGGAACACCTCCCTTGGCAATGTGTTCCAGAGCCTCGCTGTTCGTTGGAGGAACGAGTCTTTGGAAAGAGATGTTCTGCAGGTCTCTAAAGTGACCACGAAGGGGTGCGAAGCTTCAACTCGACGGGTTAATCTCGCGGGGACTGCCAAGGAAGGAACTATTGTTGATATTTCAGAAGAGCATCGTCCAAAAAAATATCTATAGAATAGAGCCAAATCGCCAACTTTTTTACGTTCTAGAAAAGTGAGTGAGGCATCACCCACGAGACCAATTACCCTTTTTTGGACAGAATCCAACAGTTTCAGGGTATGTTTGGGTGCTGCACTCCAAATATGAAAACAGTATTCCAGGACAGGTCGGATCTGTGCTTTATAGATCATAAGCAGCTGACTGGAAGTGCAATACCTCCTGACCTGAAACAGGAAACCAAGTTTTTGGAATGCACTTTTAGCAATTGATCTCACGCGATTTTCCCAAGAAAGGTAATTGCTGATAGTAATACCAAGCATCGAATTGGATGTCTTCGAAGGTATGGTTACTCCTGACAAGCTTATCTTGGGCATAGTGAGATCGGCTTTTCTAGAGAAAAGGCATGCTTGTGTTTTGTTTGCATTGAAATCTAACAAGTTATTGGATCTCCATTCGAGAATTTTCGTCAAGTCTATATTCATTTTGTCAACATTTCTCCCTCGTTTGTTTTCGATTCACCTGGCTGGTATTGAAGCCCTGGAAGAGGAGGCGATATGGAGGGTACAATCATCCGCGAAGCTGTGTACTGGACATGAAGTTGCTTCCAACAAATCGTTGATATGGAGTAGAAATAGTGTTGGTGATATACGACCCATGGTGCTCATCAAGGGCAACTTCGATATAAAATACCCCTTTCGTTCAGGTTCTTGAAGACTACCCTCCCGAACCCTGGTCTCGTCCATGAAGAAGGCCAAAAGTTCTCCTTCTCCTACGAGTAATTGGGAATTTGGTCCAGTGCTCTCAACATTACAGGATTTCCCTTTTCGTAGTGGAACTCAGAACATGAAAAAAAGATTATTCCGGTTTTTTCATACAGCTCTGGGAGGGGGGGGAGTTGAAGTCCAGATCCCATGAACCCCTCTCCCTCAATTACGCCACTGCATTCATATGATAAATCTTCCATCTCTGATGATAGCCCTCAATGGCAGATCTTGAATAATTTATTGTATACCTTGTATAGTATTAATGGATATTGAAGTCGCGATTTTTCGAAATAAATCAAGTGTTTCAAGGGCCATCAGTTATACACGAATACGTCACGCTGTTTTTCTTATTGGTACCTTTGAGGTCATAAGTACTTGTATTAGTAGATCATTTTCCCATGTTGAGGAAACAAAAAAAAACATTTGTTGGTGATATTTCATTTGACGTAATATGGTCAGATCGATAATTAAAACGTTAACATCTAGACTTCACATATCTCAGGTCGTTGATTTTGCCGTAGAAACTATAAAAAACGCGCGTTTCCGAAAGTTGGATTCAAACACGCTGATGCATCCTTCAAATAAACAAATATATAGGGTACCAATAGAAAAATAGTCTTATGTGTATTGCAATGTTCATCTATTTTCCCTTAGATTACTTGACAACAATGAGTAAATCCTTCATGAAAATGATATAATTTGTTGTCGGTATAAACTGGGAAGGTTTTTTCATTGATAACGAAAATGAGTAGGTACAGGGTGGCCAACTAAGAATCCAGAGTTCGATACCTCTGTTGTCTTGAGAGATACAAAAAAAGTTTTGCATTCAAATTGAAGTGATAACCGAGCTTCACATTTCAAAATTCCTTTGAAATACACAGGGTGTTCCGTAAGGTCACAGCACATCAAAGCTATGTTTTTTTCATTGGAACACCCTATATTTTATTTCATTTTTGAATTCTTCCTGAAGATCTGATTTCAACGACGTATCATACTTAGGGTCTAGCAGTAAAAGTTACTGACATTTAGGGTGTGCAAAATCGAGATTTTCCAAGTTCAGGATTTTTTTTGGTCGAAACTGTTCATTATTCGTCAAAACGGTTTACATGTCCCTATCTCAACTTTTCACTCACTATCAATTGATGTTCAATTGACATTCAATTGAAACAAATTATAAATCTAGATTTTTTGACCACCTTGTATCAATTTCAATTGAACACCAATTGATAGTGAGTGAAAAGTTGAGATAGGGACATGTAAACCGTTTTGACGAACAATGAACAGTTTCGACAGAAAAAAATCCTGAACTTGGAAAATCTCGATTTTGCACACCCTATATGTCAGTAACTTTCACCGCTAGACCCTAAGTATGATAGGTCGTTGAAATCAGATCTTCAGGGAGAATTCAAAAATGAAATAAAATATAGGGTGTTCCAATGAAAAAAACATAGCTTTGATGTGCTGTGACCTTACGGAACACCCTGTGTATTTCAAAGAAATTTTGAAATGTGAAGCTTGGTTATCACTTCAATTTTGATCCATGAGTTTTTTTTGTTTCTCTCATGACAACAGAGAAATCGAACTCTGGAGTCTTAGTTGGCCACCCTGTACATACCTGCTTATGATTCATTCCATTGTGTACTCATAATTCATGATGACGAGTATGTGGAGGTTTTCGATAAGGATAATGATGATTATAAGCTAATTCCATTTATCAAACCTCTAGGTCATCTTCGATACGCTATGTCTTGGATTTAAACATGTTGATGCGTCCTTTAAATGAACAAAATATGGGTTACCAATAGAAAATTAGTCTTATGTCCTTGATATGAATTCACTTTCCAGTCTTTCCACTTGTTCATCTGTTTTCCCTTAGATTACTTGAAACAATGACCCAGGTAGCCAGACTGACGAATGTGACGTCTATAGGACCGCTATCTAAGGTCTTTTTTGGTCTCATACGTCTTTTGACCAAATTATGACCTCATGCGGACGTCATTAATTTGACGTCTTATGGACAGCCACTGTTTGACGTCGTATAGACGTCAATCTATGGTCTTCATATTTTTTTTGGGTATTATTTTTTATCATTATTATTATTACTATTATTATTATGTGAATGTATGCTTTCCTAACCCCGCACAAGTTCCGACTTATGGGGCGTTGGATCCAGTGCTGGGTCCAACGAGGAAATGCAATTGAAAATAAAAAAAAAAAAAAAATATTATTATTATCATTATCATTATTATCGTTATTATTATTATTATGTATGTATAGGAAAACGAAATTATCAAATAAATCAATTAATCTATCCAAATAACTGTATAATAAAAATGGATTTTATTCCATAGGCTTCCCTTGATTTTCAATGTTTAAATTCAGCGCCAAAGACAATTCTCACATTACCGACCAGATGGCCAATAGCGATCAAGTAATTACGCGAAGAGATTGTGTATGCGACTCGCGACCATCTCGCGACTGCCGTTAGTGGCGTTACTGCCGTTCAGCTGCGTTCCCGTTCATGTTCATTGTCCATCGTCCATGTCCGAATGGGTGTTGTTTGTGAACGGCGTCTGTGCCATTGGATTTGTTAAGAATGTTGAAATGTTGAGTGTTTGAGTGGTATTTCTATACAGTCTGTTGTTCACGTGAAAGTATTCAGGATGTATTGTGTGTGATACAATTTGATGACAGTGGAAGCAACAGTGTAGCTGTTGTTCACGAAACTTGGCTGACGCCGTTGAAAAAGGAAGTGTTTTGGCCGCCATTTATAGACAGCAAAACATACAAAAGAGCTCTCTGGTGGAGGGGCAGCCATCGACGCTGAAATTTTCAACTATATGTAATACCTCACATTACTATCGTGTTAATAAAATCTTCATTCGTAGCAAATTTATTTTATAGCACAAATGATTACCTTCCTCACCAGATTATAACCATTAACCCCAAAAATTTTTATAAAAACAGACAGACGTCTTATTGACGTCGGAAATTGATCAGTAGTGTCAGTTTAAGGTCCAATTTGAAAACACATACTGACGTCTAAAAGACTTCCAAATATGACGTCATTTGGATGTGTCTTACTTACGTCATTTGGACGTCGCATTTGTTAAAATAAAGACGTCTTTTGGCCGAATGTAATGCCGTCAATTAGACGTCATATAGTCGTCATGTGCTACCTGGGTGAGTAAATCCTTTATGAAAATAATATAATTTGTTGTTGGTATTCAACTGGGATTACTGGGAATGTATTTCCATTGATAACGAAAATAAGAAGGTACATACCTGCTCATGATTCATTCTATTCTGTACTCATAATTAACGCCTTCCGTTTATCAAACTTCTAGGTCATCTTTGATACGCTATGTCTTCGAGAAAAATGTGACAGTAAAGCATTTTCGACAATAATTTCATTGCTATTTCAGATCCCGTAGATTCACCGAAACTGAGACCTTATCCCAACTGGAAAGCCCACGACAAACAAGGACCGAATCCCCCTGATATAGTATCTCCTTCCAGAGCCAGAGCTGATACTTGTGGAAGGCTATGGGTACTAGATACCGGACTCGTCAACATATTATCGGCAGACACCACATCAGCTGTCAATCCAAGGTAAACGATTTCATAGGCACATTTCCTAAACGGTAGGAGATCGAAAATTTCCATTTATTTCCATTTTATTTTATTTATTTTATTTATTTATTCACGGGTTAAACCCCATTACAGTATAAATTTGAAAACAATATATTTAAATGACACATTTCAATGTGCCAGACACATAAGTAAGTATATGTAACGTATGCCTACCCAACGATGGCTATGTAACTAGTTTACACATGAATAGATGGTATAGATGAGACTAGAAACTCTATGAAACTAACAATAACAAATACGATGACTGATCAAATGCCACTCACTTTTACTTACAAGCTATTCAATGATTTTTGAACATATTGTAAGACAATCCAAATATATTGATGTTCGTTCGTTCGTAACTTCAGAGTTCTTTCCAAGGGAGCATGCTTGCCATAATTTGTAAAATGGAATGGTAAGTGAGATAACAATTTATGTCTAAGATTCCTGTTTGGAAAACAAAACAAAGATCTGCGTAAGTTCTTCTTGTTTCCAACGATTTGAGGTTCAGCTCGTGGTTTTGTATATCAATACCTAATCTATATGCACAAAATGTCAAGAATTCATTTTGTACTCTTTCTATGGAAGTAGAGTGTATCTGATACATGGGATACCAAATAATAGATGCATACTCCAACTGAGATAACAAAAGTGATAAGAAAGCCCTTATTAATAGTACTATACAAGCTGCTCATCAAAAACTACTCCTAAATCTTTTATAGAGGAAGTGTATTCTACTTGTTGATTATTACCTAATGTTGTGAGAAGTATCAAATCTTCTTCCGACTTTCGAGAACGAGATAAAGTAGCATTTAGTGACATTGAGATACAAATTGTTAACAACATACCATTCATACATTCTATTTAGATCTGCTTGAAGGAGAGCTTGGTCACTGATAGACTTGATAGGCCTAAACAACTTCAACAGCAAACATAAGGAAATCACAGTTTATGGTGTCTATTGCTATGATGCGATGTATTTGTTGGGATCCCTTTAATTATATAAACAAGGTAGCGCCAATAATATTTTCACCTAAACAAGCGACATGATTAGAACACATTGGCACTTTGATTGGGTTGACATTTTGTTCATTCAGAGAAACTAGTGGAAGCTAGAACCCTTGAAGATGATCAGGCAAATGACCAAAGATGGAGGATCACTGAGTTGGAGTTAGCCATCGATATAATTATGTTGGAACATAATGTTAACTCTACTATACACTAGCTTGAATAAACTGGTACCTATCCTATATAGAAATATTTTCGTTTCTTGTAGGTTCGTAGTATACAACTTGACCACAGACGAAATCATCTCCAGCTATACCATTCCCGAAGGGCAGTTCGACAAAGTTTCTAGCTTCTTCGGTAACATAGCTGTCGAGGAGAACAACTGTACAGATAGTTTTGCCTATCTGGCAGATTTCGGCAAACCAGCGTTGGTCGTTTACGATTTGGCGAAGAACAGATCCTGGCAAGTGAACCATAACTTCTTCAACGTAGATCCACTTGCTGGAAATCTCAATGTTTCAGGGGTGAGTATAGGGTCGACAAAAATACGTACTTTTTCTCACAGGAAGGAAGGAAGGATTGGTCCCGTGCCCTGAGAGCCCTCCAAACCTTTTGATTAGGCTGAAGATGGTCTTTTATAAGACCGAAACATGTCCCTTATGATTATGTAAAAACATCATTAGAATTTGTAGAGATGACTTCGAGCATTCCTTCCTTCCTGTGAAATATTTCACTTCACTTTGAGCAATATGGACTTCTTCCAAAGATTCGTACTTTTTTTGTTCTTGAATGATAACTCCTCTATTTTTGGCCTTGTTTGCTACCCAGCATAGAAACGGTGGATTTTCTGGGAATGGTGGTACGATACATTGTTATATCAGGCATACTGAGTCTGTTTTTCTAGAGAAAATACAGGCTTGAGTTTTGGTGACGTAGGATTGGTTACCTTGGCTTCAATTGGAGCAAGAACTTAGGGCTTGGCGAGACCAAGAGTCCAATCTTGAGCAATCAAGACCAATACCAAGACCAAGACTACATTTATTTTTCGAGGCCAAGACTGATCAGTCTCTCGCGAAGCCCTGAGCAAGATCTCCATTGACAGCGTTGACCTGCCCTGCCTTCACCATAAGTTTTAGTTTTCTGAGGAGAAATTATAATTCTGGAAGATATCGCAGTATATAGAGTACTATCATCTGCAGAGCTGTGACTAGGACAAGTTATTACTCCCAACAGATCATTGATATGGGGTGGGAACAATATCGGTACCAAAATGGACCCTAGTGGAACGTCGTAATTGATGGCTATGCTGTCAGACGATGCTTCCTTCACCATATCACGTTAAGCGATCTGCCTAGAAGAATCCTCGATGAAACAATTCATAGTTGAAGTGGTAGTTTGTGGAGAAGTCCTTGGTGTCAAACAGGGTCGAATGCTTTCGTTAATAATTCTCCATGATTTTCGAATGAAGCTTGCTATGTATGATGAAGTAGGCAAATAAATCTCCAGTTGATCCTTGATGGCGGATGCCAAATTGTCTGCCATCATTGATTCCTGAGCTTCCGAGGAATTTGATGAGCTCGATAACGATAGCTTTCTCCATCACTGCAAGAGAAGGAACATTTGGCGGCACTCTTTCGAGGGAATCCAATTTTATTTTTCATGGAGAGAGGTGGTGGAGGGACCAAAACAAACGGGAGCCATTGGGACAATCTGGGAGCTTTGATCTTATTCTGGCATCGTATACTCATTTTTATGCATATATTGTTTAGCTGCAGCTATTTCCAGCTTGAACATACCATTTTCTTGTTACAAAGTCAAGGTTTTTGCGTCAACGTTGGCAAGCAGTTCGTTTCGAAGAATATGAGGTATGTATGTGTCCATTCCTCAGCACATTGTGAAGGATTCGCAGAATTTACATACACACTGTGTCAAGAAATCTTTGAGAACAATATGCAACAGTCTCCTGAGTTGAAATGCCATAAATGATATGGAGATGAATGTGTGCTCAGATTCGTATCTTTCTAAAAACTCAGCTGCTCAGCTTTGTTAGGCAGTTGGGTTGATTTGACAGTTATTGGCACAAGAGTTTTGATTCCTCCAATTAATAATATACGGAAAATTTATTTTTTCTGCAACCGACACAAAAGTCGTCCATTTTGATACCAACATTAGCTTTTAAATTGACTCGCAAATTTTGCTTTCGCTCGACTTCGCTAAACGCTCCGCCTCGCAAATACAAAATTCGCTTGTCAAACAAAGTGTCACTTTTGATACTGTTCCCACATATGGGGTTCAGCACCAAAACATACGCTGATGCTCTTAGATTCCATCCAGAGAAGAGCCATTCGCCTGGTGGGTGACGCCACACTCACTCACTCTTTGACATCATTGGAACACCGTAGAAAGGTCGGCGACCTTTCACTTTTCTATCGATACTTCCACGGGAAATGTTCTTCGGAAATCTCTGCAATCATCCCTTCACTAGCAATACCAATCAGACGAACTAGACAAGCCCAGTCAGCACATCCTTTCGTTGTCAACCTCGAAAGATGTCGAACAGCACTTTATCAAGACTCCTTCATCCATAGAACGGCTAGGCTCTGGAATTCATTGCCTGTGGAAGTATTCCCAACAACATATAATCTCCAAAAAATCAAAAAAAATTCCGATACCTACCTCCTGTCCCTATCCTCCCTAGGAACGCACGATGTTCTTTGAACATTATAGGGATTCCCTTTCGTGCGCTCGATAAAAAAAAAAAATTACTGAGTTTGTATTCATTGTTGCAGATACGATTCCAATGGTCTGAAGGCATCCTCGGTCTAGCCCTATCAGGCAAAGACCCGGAAGGATACAGCACCCTGTACTTCCACCCCATATCCAGCTTCAACGAATTCAACGTCAGCACCAAAGTGCTCCAAAACGAGACCCTAGCTACAAACAGCGCACTGAACTACGGACATTTCAAGGTGCTAGGCAGCAGAGGCCCCAAAGCACAAAGCGGTGCTAGCTTCTTACATCAAGAGTCCAAAGTGCTGTTTTACTCCCTGATCAATTTGAACGCTGTGGCTTGCTGGAGAACGACCCTATCCAATTACTCCATGCTTTCTCAGGGAAGGGTCTTCATGAGCAATGAGACCATGGTGTTCCCTAGTGACATAAAAGTGGACGCTAAAAATACCTTGTGGGTTTTGTCGAATAGGCTTCCCAGGTTCATTTATGGTTACCTGCGAAGTGACGAGTACAATTTCAGGATTTTGAAGTCTTCTGTGAGTGATGCTATTAGAGGGACGGCTTGTGATTCGAAGATGAAGATTGATCCTCATATTTGGAGGAATATTACTAGTAAACTTGATATCAAGAATGACGCATCGGCAAAGGTGATATTTGGTTATGTTTTGATTCCGATAAGCTTGATGACAGTTATTTTCACTAGATAAAGGGCTGTTCGCATATTCAGTTCAACTTTTATACAGAGACGTCAGACAGTATGGACGCATATTCGATTTGGAATATTCTCAGTGGTGAGCTCTGGATGAGTTCATTCACAAAATCCTTCAATCAGAGGACGTATCAAACATTTTGCTGATTTTATGGAAATGGGCATTTGTTGATGTAACTGTGATAATTTTAGTGTTATCTAAAACTCTGAAATCTATATAGCACAAATTGGATGAAATGTCTTGTTGAAGTGGAGCATTAGAATAAGTAAAGATTCAGACATTATTTCAGCAGCAGCAATTTAATACGTTCTTTCTATAGTTGAAACCGATTCACGATGGAATGTATCTTCTTTTTTCCTAGTATTCACAATGTAGCATTTTTTTCTCGTTTGGAAACATTGCTAGTCATGCAACCTGCAATCGAATTATTACCTTTAATTTATTTATTATGTAAATATTATGCTTTATTGTATATGAATATCTCACTAATATATACCTACTACAATTATTATATTGTATAGCCATCTTATCCTAATAAAGATTCAATTTACCGACTATCAGTATATCATTCATTGGGAATATATGATTTTCATGAAGAGTTGATGCAATGTTTCAATAATTGTAGCGTTTTAATTTTCCACTTTTCAAATTATTATAGTTGTACAGGGTGATTCGCCAGAAATGTCCCTCCTTCTAGCTCAGTTATTTTTGAACCGATTGCAAAAATTTGAATATCATCTGAAATGATTTTCGATAAAGTTTTTTCCACTACATCAGAAAATACAAGGTGCTCGGAACAAACGATCTACAGGGTACTTTTTGATTTTTTTAAATGGAACACCCTATTTTTCATTGTATTTTTAGATTCTTCCTGAAGAGTTGATTTCATCAATGTATCACACTTGGGGTCTAGCGAAAATGATTACAGAGATATAGGGTGTTCAAAATCGAGACTTTTCAACTTTAGGATTTTTCTGTGACGAAACTATTCATTATCGGTCCATGTCTGTATCTCAACGTTTGATTCACTATCTACTGACATTTAATAATTGGAACAGATACAGGGTGATCAGAATTCTGAATCTTGAATCACACTGTATATGTTCCAATTGAATGTCAGTAGATAGTAAATCAAAAGTTGAGATAGGGACATCGAAGCCGTTTTGACCAATAATGAATAGTTTAGACACAAACAAATCCTAAAGTTGATAAATCTCGATTTTGAACACCCTATATCTCTGTAATCATTCCCGCTAGACCCCAAGTGTGATGCATTGATGAAATCAGCTCTTCAGGAAGAATATAAAAATACAATGAAATACACAGGGTGTGAAAAAATCAAGTAGTACTCTGTAGATCGTTTGGTCCGAGCACCCTGTTTTTTCTGATGCAACGGGAAACAAATTTCTGAAAACCATCCCTAGATGATTCTTCAAATTTTCAAATCGGTTCAAAAATAAGTGAGCTAGAGGAGGGAGCATTTATGGTGAATCACCCTGTACATTTTATAACAGGCATTTCCAGATAATTTACAATATGAGTAAAATTATTTGTGTAGAGATTCAATCGATTTAATCTATCAGAATAATCGACTACAGTCATAAAATTAAGTTGAAGTTAATTTTGAATATATTTCGGGTGTCTATTTTCTCAACAAATCATGAAATACCAGATTCGAACATGTAAATCTAGACAACTACGCATTCAATGTTCGTGTATAGTTGGTTGCCTACCAGCATGAGATAAACCTAGTGTGTTTGAAATATAAAAACTCAACAATAATAATTATCACCTTCAATTATATATCTAGTACAACCTGTAAAAAATAAAGGAATGGAAAATGGAACACTCAAATAAATTAGCGCAAAGTGAACATTCTGTTTCCTTCAAATTCTTCTGGATTCAACTGATATACATTCCTTTTGGTTTCGTTTGTTTTTTATTTTACGCATAAGACACTGGCAAATCACTATTGGAATTCGTTGAGTACGTGTTTCAAGCGATGAATGTGACTTGATTGGATGTTCCTAAAAATAAATAAATGGAATAAGGAACTTACAGTTAATTGATGAATAAGAAATACACTACCCACCTTCCATCCATACCTTTATAGATATGTATTTTCCACTATGATTCCGGTGTTAATTTTCAAGTCCAAATCATTATCGTCCAGGAATTCTCTCATCAGTCTTATTGTGTCGAACTGTCGAAGTTGTCAACGAAGTCAATTATTACTCCACCTATTTCGTTCGATTTTGGAAATCAGACGTTGCCACACTGCTACCTAGAAGATCCTGAAGGCCCAGTTTCACCAACGGATTTAATCTCCGTTTTGGAGTCAACTGCCGAATTTAATCGCCATGAAGAATTCAAATCGTTTCACCATACCAGAACCACCGATTAACTCGATTAATCCAGATTATTTCTTAACTGGCAATTTTTCACCAGTTATGAATTTTATGGATGTAATGATTATGGTATGGTTATTATGGTTTTGAGATTATGAGATTTCTTTCAATATAAGTATTAGATAATGGCATATGATGATCTTGCTTCCGAAGACTACGAAGATAATCAATTTTTCGGTGCGGCGTTCCCGTTGGATACGAGAGAGAGAGAGAGAGAGAGAGAGAGAGAGAGAGAGAGAGAGAGAGGAGAGAGAGAGAGAGAGAGAGAGAGAGAGAGAGAGAGAGAGAGAGAGAGAGAGAGAGAGAGAGAGAGAGAGAGAGAGAGAGAGAGAGAGAGAGAGAGAGAGAGAGAGAGAGAGAGAGATTACTTATTCAGTTCGCTTGTTTTGATTTTTTAATAAATGTTGAATCGAGCTTCAACCATGTCCACTAAATGAGTTTTTTAAGCAATACTGAAATTCGTCTCTTTCTTTTTTCCCTCTCGTTTTTCTCAATCGAAATCTTTTTTATTAATTTGTTTTGTTCACTATAGTGAAAAAAACTCAACTTGAGAGGTTTTCATAATATGTCGTCAGAGCACACACAGAACGACAAATTTCTAGTCATTCATGGCTATTCTACACTGTTGCCTTGTTAATTCTAAGCTTTAATTACGGTTAGCTAAACGTAAAGATTAAAAAGAGTTGAAAAAACGGCTACGACGATAATCGAGATCAAATCCTTGATTTAACACGAACGTAGCTTACCTGAACTGAGATTATATCACCGCTGGTGAAACCAGGCCTGAAGGATCATCGAAGTTTGGTACAATTTAGGGTAGATAGAGTTGAAATAGAATGAATACGAGCTTATTTGATTGGCTAGTTCATTGTTTCGATCAATGGAGAAGTCCTAGATATTGCACTTTCAAGCACTGGATTTTTCTTGAGTGGGAAACAGAAGAACCGACCATGAAGAACCTTCTAGAATGTTTCTGGAATGATGGAAGGGTTTCCGTTTCCGCAAAGGTCCATATAGACTACAGAAGATAGTAATCTTTGATAACAGTCTTTGTGAAGCCGGTTGCGGATCACTTGTAGCAAATATTACTGAACTGTAGTCTATGCTTGTAGCCCCATGAGTCATAGTGCTCACATCACGAGTGATCGGGATTTTTTTGGTCAAATTTGGTGAGTGCGTGTTGATGTCGCTTCTGGATTCGGGAATTAGCCCCTTTGGATCTCAACTCTACTGATCAGCACCATTCGAGCCGACTTGAGAAGCCTTCGGTTTGGTATGAAGCCATCAAACTCTTGGACTTTAAATTCACCGATCTCTGGATCAACGACGTGTGCCAACTTTAAGCATACTTTATCCTAAAATTCAGTACTTGGTAGGGCCTTCCTGATTCAACAAAACCTCATGAAATCGGTTTGGCATAGATTCTATGAGGTTGTTGATGAAGTCTATTGATATTGCCTCCCGCATTCTTCTGATATAGCTTGGGTAAGGTCGTTATCATTTTGGGGTGCCTCTCGCCTTATCGATAGGTTGAGTTTTATTCGGGTCCACACATGTTCAAATTCAGATCTGGAGATAATGCTGGCCACCACATTCAGTATATTGAACAACAATACTCTGTGTCTCATACTTGGGCAATGATTATTGAAAATCATTTGATAAGAATCATCGATAGCAGGTAACGAGTTTGAATTGAACATTTTCATCCTGTATCTCAATTAAAGGTGAATTTTCGAAAACGCCTCGAGTCAATAGTCTTGTTGAAAATTCAGAAGAGAATGCCCTGTAGGATTCACCATGACAAAACAATTTTGAAATGTTAAAAAAAAATGAATTAGCAATTTTTGATAGATTTGTCAAATTTTATACTTTTGGTTCAGTAAAGCTATTTTGTACTGAAATCATCTTATCATTCATTGATACTCGTCTTTGTACCTTTACAAACCGATACATATCTCTACACCGGGTAGGTGTAGTCATTTGCAATTACATTTGGCGACCGTGACAGGACACTGCAAAGATGGAGAAACTGCTGAAAGCGTTAGATGTTCACAGAACTGCATTCGAACGTTTACATGAAGATACGATGAGGCTGCTTTTGGACCCAGATAACGATCTTGCTGATTTACAAGGAAATCTTCGAGTTCTGGAGAAGAAGATGGAGATAATGATGGAGTTGGAGAAACAGTTGCTTGATGAGATGCTGGAGAAGGATGTTCCGTCTGATGATGTTGATATGGAGGTAGCCAGAGCTGATGAAATCGCAGGGAAGTATAATAGGCTTAAGGCTAAGATTGAACGAAGGTTGAATAAAGATTCTCTCTCTGAAATATTGAGTCAAAACTCTTCTAGTCAGAATAAAAGAAGATTGAAGTTACCCCAAATTGAATTTAAGAAGTTTAGTGGCGAGATAAGAGATTGGTTACCATTTTGGGGCCAATTCAGAAGGATTCATGAAGATGAAACTATTGAAAATGAAGATAAATTTCAATATCTTGTTCAATCCACCGTTCACAACTCTCGTGCACGTCAACTTGTCGACAGCTATCCACCAATAGGCGATAATTACCCAAAGGTTATTGAGAGTCTAAAATCTCGTTTCGGACGTGAAGATTTGTTAGTGGAAGTATACGTTCGAGAATTATTGAAGCTAATCTTGTCAAATTTACGTTCTAAAGTGAAACTTAGTAAACTTTATGATCAACTTGAATCCCAGCTGAGATCATTAGAGACTTTAGGCGTCAATTCAGATAAATGTTCAGCGATGTTATATCCCTTAGTTGAATCTTGTTTACCGGAAGACATTCTGCGGGCGTGGCAGCGTAGCAAAAATTATGATTCAGAATCCACTTTAAAAGGGCGTTTAGACAGTATGATGCTATTTTTAAGACGGGAAGTAGAAAATGAGGAAAAAATTTGTTTAGCAATGTCTGGATTTGATATTGGAACTAGAAAGAAAGACGTTCAATTTAATGATTCAGTTATTCCTACTGCTTCGGGCTTGATAAATCAGAATAAGAAAGTACCAAAATGTGTTTTTTGTAAGAAACCGCATTATACTCCAGACTGCAATGATGCTGATATGAAGAAATTATCACTTGTTGAAAAACAAAAAGTCTTGGCTGATAATGGTCGATGTTATATATGTTTGAAGTTTGGACACATTGCCCGGAAATGCGCTGTTAGGATAACGTGTTCTGAATGCAAGGAGAGACACGCCACTATAATGTGTCCCAAAAAACATTCGATCGAATCTAATACTGGTCATGCTTCCAGATCTTCAGTGACTGTTGAAAGTTTATCAAATTCCACCTACAATGAAATCCTTTTACAAACTTTGGTTGTCAAACTCAGTAATGGTTCAAAAACCCGTTTAGTAAGGGCTATTATAGATACAGGGTCCCAAAGATCGTATATTGTTAAACATACTGCTCTAGAAATGGGGTATGAAGCAATTGATTCTGAAGAAATGATTCATGCTCTCTTTGGTGGTACTCGTTCGGAAATAATTAATCATAGCTGTTACCGAGTGACTTTGAAAAATTTGGAAGAAAACTATGTTTGTAATTTTAATGCTCTCGATCAACCACTGATATGCAATAGAATAATTTCAATTAGGGAAGGGCCATGGATAACTGAACTAGCTGATATGGGTATTTCTGTTACTGATACCCAAGATGGCCCCATTGAGATTTTGATTGGAGCTGATATTGCAGGAAAACTTTTTACTGGTGAGCGTCGTAAATTACAAAGCGGATTAGTAGCGATGGAGACTTCATTGGGATGGACATTGATGGGTAAAATCTCGAGCTCTGAACCTGAAAATTCAAAAACTTGTTCAATGTTAGTTAGTTCGCTATTATGTAACAATGATATTTCACACCTGTGGAATTTAGATATCTTAGGTATTTCTGATCCAAGTAAGAAACAATCAGAAAAAAATCATGAAGATGAAGTCATGAGAAAATTTCATGAAACGATTAAAGTTAATGATGAAGGTCGATATGAGGTGAATTTACCATGGATTGAAGGACATGCCCCATTATCAAATAACTTTTTTGTTGTAAAAAAACGCTTAGACAATCTCATGACAAAATTAGATATTGATGGTTATTATGACAATTATGATGAAGTTTTTTCTGAATGGTTGAATGAAGGAATAATAGAAGAAATTTCTGGATGCTCTGATGATGATGGATATTATTTACCACATCGACATGTGGTCAAGTTGAGTAGTGCTACAACCAAGTTGAGGCCTGTTTTTGATGCGTCTGCTAAGGAAAGAAACTATCCATCACTGAATCAGTGTTTAGAGACGGGAATTAATCTTATTCAGCTCATTCCATCAATTTTGATCAGATTTAGGATTTCCCGAATAGGTATCGTGTCAGATATCAGGAAAGCATTTCTTCAGATAAGTGTGAATGTTGATGATAGAAATGTTTTAAAATTCCTGTGGTACGATAAAGATAGAAATCTCAAATTTTTTAGGCATGCTAGAGTCGTGTTTGGAGTTACTTCCAGTCCGTTTTTGTTAGCTGCAGTAATAAATTATCATTTGGAGAAACACCTTGCAGACTGCAGGCAAGATCCTAATTCAAAATTCAGTACTTGGACTATTGAGAAACTGAAAGATAGTTTTTACGTTGATAATTGCGTAACTAGTGTCAATGATGAACATGAACTTCGACAGTTCATTGAAGAATCTAGTCAGGTTATGTTAGATGGTAAATTTGATCTCAGAGGGTGGGAGCACACTGTCCTTGATAATGATGATGAAAATATTGGAGTGAATGTTTCTTTGTCACCAGTCTTAGGTTTGCTATGGGATAGAAAATCAGATACTATTGAAATTAATTTGGATTGGTTGAAAAATATTGATACTAGTAAAATCACTAAAAGAGTAATTCTTTCAGTAGCTCATAAACTTTTTGACCCCATCGGTTTTTCTTGTCCAGTGCAAATTGTTCCTCGAATATTACTGCAGCAAACTTGG